GGTGGGCGAAGACCACAGCCACAGGCTTCACTAGGGTGAGAGCGAGAGGTCACTTGCACGTGAGCCCGGTGGCCCGGCGAGGGGACAGCAGCAGGGCCAGGGCGGTGGGCGCCGCAGGCGGCTGGGGGGGACCTCACCTTGTCTCTCCAGAGCCTTCTTCCCGTATTGGATGAATCTCTTCAAGTGATCGACGCAGGTGACGTTGAGGAGCTCCTGCAGCGTTAGGGAGAGGCCTGCGATGCTGTTGAAAGCTGTTTGACCTCACCTTGTCTCTCCAGAGCCTTCTTCCCGTATTGGATGAATCTCTTCAAGTGATCGACGCAGGTGACGTTGAGGAGCTCCTGCAGCGTTAGGGAGAGGCCTGCGATGCTGTTGAAAGCTGTTTCCATGTGTGTTGCTACATCATCCTCTCTCTGCTTTTCCCAGAGGCCTTTGTCCACGTCAAAGGTGGTCAAGTCCTGGCCGTTGTAGCCGAAATGGTAGAATTTCGTGTAGGAGCCATTGGGGTACAGGTCACAGCCGGTCAAGCTCTGGTACATGAAGGGGTCTGGCGGGGAAGGCAGGGGGACAAGCACGTCACATAGGCAGCTGGTGCTTGCAGCAGAGTCCAAAGTGCCAGCCCGAGACCCGCTTTTTTGGATGCAGCTCTTCCCCCCACTTCCCTCTCTCCATCCCAAACTATTTGCTCGCGTTATTTCTTCTCCATTGCTGCAACATTGACAACTGGGAGCAGAACCACTTTCGCTCCACTTTTTCCAGGAACGTTGCTGTTGAATGTGGTGGTTGTCCGAGCTTTGGGTTTGTGGTGTCCGGAAAGGACTACTGGGGCCAGTCCGCGGGGGTTGGTGCACCTGAGCACAGCCGAGGTTTGTGTTGGGGGAACTGCAATCTCCTGCACAGGTTAGGGCAGGATGAGGCCCATCTAGTGACCTCCCGTGAGCCTCGTGTCACTAAGACAGTTGGTTGCTGCTCTGAGGTCATCTTTTCCCAGCTCTCTACCTATGCCTGGGCAAGGCAGGACGCTCAGGAGCCCCAGTACTCACAGGACTCATGATACTGCTTGGCATCTCCGTTCACCAGAAGGATGAAGTTGTGCACGTAGATTTTGAACAGGTTATGCAGGTTCTCCCACTGGGCCGCCGGCAGGGCTGAGTAGACCCATGGCTGGAGGTAGGTGATCTCCCAGGTATGTTTTTGCAGAGCAGCAAAGACGATATCGTTCAGTACCGCCTGGATCGAGATGTCCGACACGGTGGGGTTTTGAAACGCGAAGGTCAGGAATATGTGGAGAGCGTGCGAGCCCGTGGGGAGAGGTGGCGAGGCTGGGGGAGAGAAGCAAAGCATCGGAGGAGGAGGTGGAGGAGGGCAGGCGAGGCCCTGGCTCCAGCGCTGGCGCAGCACCTGCGGCAGGACGGGTGGCCTGCGGGGTCCCCGGGGATGAGGAGGGGTAAGACGGGGGCAGGTGGGAAGGGGGAAATCCCCTCGTCTAGCTGTTTCTGTGCTGCTTCAAGTTTCCTTCCGCTGTCTTGACGCTCTGCTTCTCTTCTAATTCCCTTTCTACCCTTCCAGCGCACCTCCTACGACCTTACGGACTCTCACCCAGCACCCGTCGCCTGGAGCTACGGCGGGAGAAGGAGACCTGCTCCCTGTCGTGGGAAGATGCTTCCTCCAGCGAGGGGCGATGGCACCTGGGACGCACAGGGTGAGCCAGGGAGGCGAGAAGGGCCATCAGGCCTGGGCCAGGAGGCCAACGGGGTTCCTGGGCAGCACTTGGAGGAGCCGAGACCCCCGGGAAATGAGGCAAGAGAGCGAGCAAAACACTTGCAGGGGGTTTACAGCGGCCGCGTAAGGAGGATGTTGGGCAGGGAGCCAACAGCGTGGAGCGAAGCGCGTTTTGGAGAAGTGTGCATTCCCATGTCCCCGGGTGCGGTGGGTGCCTGGCCTCGAGATAGGAAGTGCAGGGCTGGAAATAGAGCTGAAGGCTTCCTTGTAACTGCAAGAGGAAGCTTCAAGCATCAGTTGGCAGTTGATAGCGGTACGCGCAAAGGCTCCAGTTGACTTTTGAATAGCAAAGAAATTATGCAGCGGGTCCAGGGCCTGCTAAAAGGTGCCCGGCTGCAGCGCGGGGCTCACCGTGCCGTGCGGGACCGCGATCGAGGCCTCCCTGTCACTACCACAAACCGGCAGGAGAAGGCAGGAGGGAAGCGTCTTCGCCGGCACTGAGCACCGGAGCGCCCCAGCCCCGGCACGGGCAGGACCGGCCGGGGTCCCCGTCGGAGCCTCCT